CTGCAGCCCCTTCCCCTCCTGGGCAGTGTTTCCAGAACATCCTGCAGCCCCTTCCCTTCCTCTATGCAGCTGTTTTGTTATCATAGACGCGGCCCTGGAAAAACACGAGTCGGGCCCTCATCTCTAGCAAGTGACTCACGGCAGTTATTCCTGTAAACGCACACACACTGAGGGAGAGAAGGCAGAAGCACCCGAGCAGCCACCCGCTCCGTCAGCCAGGGGCCCAGGGAGGGCAGACAGACGGTGGACCCCCGCCAGGCTGCACTCACCAGCTCTGGCCGCAGTAGCCGACTCCATGGGCCCCTTGTGCACCCAGCCCACAGTGGGGCGTGTGCTCTTGGTCACACTCTGGTCCCTGTTGTCCTCACTGCCACCACCGCCACTGCCACCACCAGAGGACGTTTCAGGCCCCCTCCCCGGCAGGGCTGGCTCCTCAGGGCCTGGGGGCTGTAGAGTGGCTGCTGCGGCTGGGCCCTCCATTGCCTGAGGTGGCCTCATCGATGAGGGCTGGGGTTGCCCAGCTGGCCTTCTGTGGAGAGAGGACAGGCAGAAGGTCAGCAGAGAAGGACTTCCCCAGGAAGAGGCCCCTGGGACCAACATGCCATCGCTGGCAGAGCCAGAACACAGGGAGAGAGAAAGAAGCAAGAACTTGAAATTGCCATGTGCCTGTGCCCTTTCAGACCTAACCAAGGCACTAGCTGCAGGGTGGTCACAGCCGTGATAACTTGGTGTTCTCGGTGGTCTGTCCTGGCCTCACTCCCCCTCGGCAGCCTCAACAGCCTCCTTAGTCCTGACTACTTGCCAGCTCCGCCTACCCCAGGGCCTTTGCACGCACTGCTGCTTCTGCCTGGGAAGCTCTCCCTCCCCTTTGCCTGGGCTCCCTGCTCAGCCTTCATGAGCTTGTCGGACCCTCAGCCAGCTGCCAGCTGCAGGGCCAGGCCCGTCCTGAGCCCCTCAGAGCCCCTTCGAGGCCCACAGGACCACCCAGGAGGCAGTTTCCACAGGTGCACGACCCCTCTGGGGAGCCTCAGCATGCAGACGTGTGCTGTCTCCCCCAAACCCCACGGCAGTTGTTTTACTGATGAGAACTGGGGTTCTGCGGGGCTTCGTAACCCACACACCCCCTCATTTTCACACACATTCACACAATCACTCACACTCCATTCACATTCACACACCACACACGCACGTGCTCACACACCCCTTCATTTTCACAATCACTCACACTCCATTCACATTCACACACCACACACGCACGTGCTCACACACCCCTTCATTTTCACAATCACTCACACTCCATTCACATTCACACACCACACGCACGTGCTCACACACACCCTCATTTTCACACACATTCACACACCACATACTCACTCTGACACACTCACACACGCTCACACACACACTCACTCTGACACTCACACACGCTCACACACACACTCACTCTGACACTCTCACACACGCTCACTCACACACTCACACCTTTGGTGTCCACGTCCCTCAGGGCTAACAGGCAGACGCACAGAGCTCACGCTGAAGCTGCCTGCTCCTGCCATCATCAGCCTCAGAGCCTCCAACGTGCTGACTGTTTTCACCCAAAGACCAGCTCTGTTGTCACAGAGGGCCCCTCGTGGGTCCCTGCACCCTGCACAGCCACCAAGCAGCCCTCAAGGGGCCCAGATGGGTGTGTTGGGGGCTCGGGGTGGGGGTGGCAAGTGGCCCTGTTGACACAGCTCCATCCCAGGAGCCCCCTCCCTGGACCCTGAATTGGCTGCAGGCTTTGACAAGGCCCCTGGCCTCCACCTTGTGTCCGTCCATCTGTGGATGGATGGGTCAGGGAGGGCATAGCTGTCCCCTGACCCTGCCCTGCTCGGCTCTGAGCTGGGCCCCCAGACCAGCCTGCTAACTGGGAACTCAGACATGAGGTTGGAGGGATGGCTCCATGCAGCGGGTCCTGTGAAGGGACGGGAGGAGGGACAGGAGTTGGGCTGCCAGGGAGGCACCCTGGGAGGTGACCTGGCAGGGGAGAAGTTGAGTGAGAGGAGAGCAAGCCAGGGTGGCAGGGAGTGGAGGCGGCCCTTCATGGGGGGACAGCAGGGCCAGTGGCTAGACACCAGGCTAAGTGGGGCATCCCACAAGGCTGGCGCGCCCAGGCCAAGATCGGGGCTCTCAGCGGCTGCGAGGTGGGTGGGCACAGAGCAGTGAGCGGGCTGTGAGAGGTGCATGGTGGGCACGGAGCAGTGAGCGGGCTCTGGGAGGTGCATGGCGGGCACAGAGCATCAGCCCCAAAGCATGACCTGAAGGGAGGGGCCAGTCCTCTGTCCACACTGCCGTCCCCACGGCCCCCAGCTTCCTTTCCTGTTGCTGGACAGGACACACAAGTACCAGCGGGGTGGCCTCTGCCCAGCACCCCTCTGCTCCCCAAATCCTGTGTGCTTGGGACCTTGGGGACCTCCCCCCTCGTCAGCCAAGTGACAGCCACTCAGACGGCGGCTCAGGGAGTGAGTGCTGGGCTGAGGACACCTGCCTCCCCCTCAGGTTCCTCAGACCCATGCAGTGGCATCCCCCAGCCTGCTGCCCCCTCAGACCGTTTCTTCACCTCCAAGGAGGGAGAGTGCCCAAGGGGGCATCAGGAATTCGTGTTTTTCATTCAGTCCCCGTTCGTCCCAGCTTGCTTTATCAGCATTGCTTTCATAAGGAAAATGAAAGTATTTAACAAAAATAAAAGTAAGAATGCCAGAGCAGGTGTCTCACTTTCCTTGGCTGCTGTAACTAAGTACCACGAAGCAGGTGACTTAAAACACCCGAGACTTACTCCCTCAGGGCCCCGGAGCCTGGGAGCCTGAACCAGGGTGTGGGCAGGGCTGCGCTGCCTGCAGAAGCTCAGGGGAGAGTCTTTCCTCATCTCTTGCAGCTGCTGGGGATGGCTGGCCATCCTTGGCTTGGGGCTGCATCACTCCGGTGTCTCCCTCCATCTTCACGTGGCCGTGTTCCCTCTGTCTCCCTGTCCCTTGTCTTTTTATAGGGATGCCAGCCAGATGGGACAAGAACCGACGCTGCCCCCATATACCTTCATGTTAACTTATCCGATAACATCTGCAAAGACGCGATGTCCAAAGCAGGTCACATTCACAGGTACAGGGATTAGGACTTCATCTTGTCTTTTTAGGGGGACACACTCAGCTCGCAGCAGAAAGGATGCTGTGTTTCTGCTAGGGGTCACGCTGGGCCCCTCGTGTCCCAGGGAGAAGTTCTTGACCCCTGTCCTAAACACCTGTCACCCCCACAGGAAACGGGCCGAGCCTTCGCCTGCTGGTCGAGCACTAACACAGCCCTTGGCGAAGGGCCTCGGCCCTGGAGTGGCTGACGGCCAGGGGGCTTGCAGCAGTGGCGCCCCGAAGCCTTGAAGGTGGCCTCAGCGAGCCCCTCCCGCTGGCTCTAAACGTAGCCTGGTTAACTGGTTCGTGGCCAAGTCCTTCCGTTCCCCAGAACTACCCTGAGGGGCAGGGTCTGAAACAAGGGGCACCCAGGGGACTCTGGCCCTGCTGGGCCCCCCTCCCCTCTCAGCCCGAGAGGAGGGTGCAGGCCGCCAGTCCGCGTTGCCAGACTCGGACTGAGAGCCCAGGGGCCCTGCCTGCGGAGCTCTCAGTGCAGCACGCGTTAACCGTGTCAGGCCTCAGCACTCGCTGTCCCCTCTGCCCAGGCACCTTCCCTGTCCCTGCCAGGCCTGGGCCCCTCCTTGGCTCCCCCCAGCCCATGCCTCCCTGGGAGTCTGCCCTGTTCTCCTGGCCCCTCTGCCCCAGACCTGCTTGGCCACGGCCCATCCAGGACCAGGCTCTAGCGGCTGGGAGGTGACTGCTTCTCCAAGGGTGTCTGAGCTCATGGGTTAATGGGTAAGTTCCTGGTTTGGAGGGCTGTAGCCCCCCCACTTAACTGTGCTCATGCGGAACCTGTACACAGACCAAGAGGCAGTCATTTGAACAGGACAAGGGGATACTGGTGGTTTAAAGTCAGGAAAGGTGGGCGTCAGGGTTGTATCCTTTCATCACACTTACTCAATCTGTATGCTGAGCGAATAACGCAAGAAGCTGGACTGTATGAAGAAGAACACGGCAGCAGGATTGGAGGAAGACTCATTAACAGCCTACAATGTGCAGATGACACAGCCTTGCTTGCTGAAAGTGAAGAGGACTTGAAGC